TTACCACTCCAAAGGATGGATGGTACTGCCCTTGGGAATGTGATAGCCGTTGTACTCATCGTCCTGGATCAGGTAGTGGGGAATGCCAGTGGGGACTGGTGGGCGCCATCGAATACACTCGCGAATGATGGCTCGCAAGAAAGGAAGATTAGGTCTATCTTCTGAACGTGGCATCCGGTCTCCACAGACACGATCAAGTTCCTCGTGTAACATCGGCAAGAACTGTGGATAGTGTGTCATGGCCAGACAAAACGTCTGCATTGGAGCGGCGATAGTAAGAGCTCCGGCGATACCGTGCATGCCAACAGCATACGCGCCTTCGGTATTGGATTTGAACCCCCATTTGCTACGACCATCCAGGAAGGTTTTCATCCAAGATGGGGCTGCTTGTCCAGACTGCACATCGTTCACGACTTGTTCTTGCATGGTCTGGAACCATGTTCGCTCAGTGGTCGCGCGTCGCCTCTCCCAAGCCTTGGGTGGGGAGAGCCAGTCCGGCAGTGACATGAGGAATGGAAGCTTGTTGCTCAGAGAACCAGTGGGCGAGACACCAATGAGAAGTTCGCGTGCGCGTTGCTTCAGCTCGTCACTACCTTCGCTGTGGCCCCAGGCCAGTCGACAGGTGACGCGAGAGATGAACGACTCAAGGATGTTGTTGTATTGATCAGGTGCGTCCAGTAGCTCGGTCAACATACGTGTTGATTCCATTTCAGGGTATCGATGGAACGCAGCCTTTTCCGATTCACGCATGATGATGTTCGCAAACTTTCGTTGACGAGTATGGCCCTCTGGAAAGCGTTAGACACTGTGGTTATACGCGTTATGAATGTGACTTACCATTTCGACTGAGAAGCGGAAGATATTGCGCGCTTGAACGGTTGTCGTCGATCAAAGAGGGAATATGCGGTCGATCGGAGTAGATGGCCGCTTTCTTTGAAAGCAAGTCCTTTGCTATCTGATCGCTAGATATCCAGACATGGTTATGGCCAGCCAGGTCGCATTGATAGATCGGGCCATATTGCTTGCCCCAATCCGCGAACTTGATGAACCCGTTCTTCTCAGGCACCTCAGGTACTGAGCCGAGGATGGGGTAGCCTAGTATATGTTGGTTAGTCAAGTTACTTTTGTGATCATCAGGGTCCAGCAGTAGACCTTCGCCTATGCGATGTGACGGAGAAATAAGATCCATACCTTTGGGTCCAGGTAGAGGCTTTAGGCCTGTCGGTATTCTATGACGACGAGATGAATCCCAGTACCTGTAGAGTGCATATGCACCCAGAACAGCTACCGCTAGTAATATTGAAGGAAGCCCCATAATGGCAAATGGTCCGTAGGAAAAGAAATCACACCCAGCGTGACGAGGACCAAGAAGTTGGGTTACGAAAGATGTGCAGCCTTAAGAAGAGATGCGGGTGCATGAGGCACTACATATAGCACCTGTAAGTTCCATGGCAGGAGGGTCACTGCCTGAGCATGTAAGCCTACTCCTGTGGATAGTTTCGAGTACCGATATTCCGTGCGCAGCTACGGGACGCTGCGTGTCAGAGCCGAGAGAGTGGATCATGTCCTCTAACAAGCATGACGCCTGTAATTACAAAAAGTAGCCTCGCTTGTTTGACCAGCTCACTGGTCTGCAAGGACCACGAGTTTTCTGGCTGCGCTGAGTATGCAGCATCAGTGCCAAGGCAGGCATAGTATGTGAATCCTCCGCGACCGTTTTCGTTTAGCTTGCTTAGGACCAAGCTGATAAGGAACATCCTGAGGAAAGCTGCAGGGCGATCGCTGATAGCCGCAGTATTGGAAAGGTATACATCGACGATGTTCTTCTCCGCATCGTTCTGGGCAACTTGCTGTCCTGGTCACCGGTAAGTGACTGACTCGTCAGACGTTCCGAAGATAGTCGCAAGAAGACAATTTGTCAAGGCTAGAAAGCTATCACTCTAAGGATGTTCTGCCTGAACTCAGTAAGCAGATACGGGTTGTATTGCACGTGTAACACTTTGCGAGAATTGCACATGCAATGTTGCCACCGGGGATCCCTAGGAGATGGCAAGAGGTACAGCTGATGCTGGCTGGGTGGGCTGAACTGACGAGCTCGGCGATGAATCCGAAGGATGCGGCCGTCTTGGAAACACGAGTATTGTGACAGTTGGCTGTCGTGTGTCAGGATGATGATCGGTGCTGATGGTGTTGTTGCATATGGGGCTAATCTATTTTCAGAGGCCTTAAAAACCAATGATCGTCCGGCAGTCGTGCGGATCGCCCCATTTGCGACCATCAGCCTAAAGCCCCTGCTCGCTTCGCGTCCTCTTCCCAAAAGCGTCAACCCTGGATGTTATCTAAGTGAGGAGAGCCGACGTTGCAAGTCCGGCGCGCCTGAGATTCTCTGCCTTCCCTCCAACTTCGCATGGAGGCTTCTCATCGCTCTTGCTCAGTCACGTCATATTGCCCTGCATTGGACCCTGAGCCTATTGTCTCACCCACGCCCAGGCGCAAAAGCCTTCGTCGGCGACCGCAACCTCTCCGCGCCGAAGTCTGCATATCTTCACGGTGGTGGCGTCTATGACAGAAACACCTGTCTCGAAGCAAAGTAAGATCGCTTTCGCTCCGTGCTCCTCAGGACAAGCATGAAGTCATTATGTTTGCGACATCACTCCTTGAAACGATAGATCAGTGTACTATTTGTAGCAATGATGGTGTTTCCACTAGGGATCGCGCAAGTAGCTCACCCGCTGTTTTACCAGCAGTTCCCGGCTAGTGTGTACTCGTACTAGCCAGGTACCGACTTACTACAGCTGTCTCCGTAACTCTTTAGGCCGGTGCCGCTACGAACATCGTTCTATCACATAGCGGTTGCCGATATGCCGATATACTCATCAAAGACGACCCCAACATGCTCACTTGCGTCGAATGATATGGCTTGAGCTCTGTGCCAAGTTCGCGGCGCACAACGGCCTCGCAGAACACACCACATCCGGATCGGCTGGTCCTCACTCGACGCGCAAACTCCAGATGTTTCGTCTGCATAGGCGCAGATACCACGATCGAATCGCCACCTTCTCAGGTTAACATGGAGATGCACCTAGGCAACGAGCTCCAGGTCGAAGTCAGCCCCACGAGTCGCTTGGTTCTACGGGCCCAACTGCAAAAATATACCAGAACCCCAACCAGAAAATTGCCAACCCACTGAATAGTGCGGCGGCTGAGGTGACAAATATCGTCACACGATGCTGACTCGAAGAGAACCGCTGCTCAGCATCTTCGAGCTTGCAGTCATTCCTGCGCGTCATGTACCCAACAACCAGGTTCCGATGAGTGTCAAGGCTAACTTTGGAACGAAACACCACGTCATGTGCACTGAGCTTATCACAATTTGCACGACCACAGGCATTACAGCATCTCGACTTTGCATAATCGTGCAGCTTCGAGAACGCTTAGGCTTCATCTCAAGTCCGTGTTTATGCAGGGTAATCTTTACATCTGCAGTATTACACATCTTGAACAAGTTTTGCTTTGCTTTGATGTCGCACTACCTTAGACACGACTTCAGGATATCATCCGACACGGGGCCGTGGAACGCGCGGCCCGACTTTTCCGTGGCCCATGACAATGTCACCTTTCAACGACATACCGCGATACGCAAGCTCGGATTTTAAGGTGGTTGGGGAACATCATCAACACAGCCTTCGGCGAGAACACGCGGTACACGCTCAATTACAGCTGCCATCGTTATCAGCCGGAATCTTTACCACATTAGGAAGTGATTCATTAAGCTCTTATCAGAACTCTTTCCCCAAGCCGGTGGTGTTGCTAGTACAAAGGCTGCCTCTTGTCTTCTTTGCAGGAACTTTCCTGCTTACCACTAACTCCGTTCATGTTATCTTCAGACCGCTAATATTGACCCTAGGGCTTAGAGCCACTCCATCTACAGAAATGAGAGGCAAGGTAGTGACCGAGCGCAGTAATTCGCTCTCTGCAGCGATGGCCAACCGATCGATCATTGCCGACCTAAAGACACCGTCGTTATCTTCTTACGCCATGCTTGTGACCATAATTCTCGTCGCTAATGCAAGGCGTGCAGACGTAGGCTCTGAGCCTACATATATACAAAACTCAAGCAATGGCTGTCATCATGGTGGTAAATTGCTGCATGGATTCCATGAATCAATCATTGCAGCCTGGTGTTCCCTTGCACCGCAGCGTTGTGCGTCGCAGATGTCCGAACGTGTCTGTGCAACATGTCGTCTGTCACCAATTCCATGTCTGGTTGTCTTCGAGGATACTCTTTCTTTCCATGCTCTTGATGACAGCAGATATAGCGCATACCACAGCGCTGTACTAGAATCCACTGACGGTCCAGTGAGGTTCGGGTCCATCTCTTTTGAAATATGGGAGAGTAGAGAACTCCGTGCCTGTGCATTCATGTATTAGACTGGGAAACACATGAAGGTATATGGTATATGGAAGTTCCGTTTAGCATCGCAGAAGATGGCCTATTTCATCGGCGCTGTGAAAGAGTCATGTTTGGCAAGAAGACACGTACTTCCAGCAACCTGTCAGGGTTGAAGCTCAAAACACTGGTCTTTCACAAAAGGTCATTCAAGAGACACCAAATTGTCTTCCTACCCTCTGCAGATGAGGTAGAAGAAGGCCGCTGGATGTTTGGCGCGGTCATGTGCGAATCTGTATTGTCGTCTCATGGATTTTACACCGTGTCGAAGGCGCAAGTGCAGTTCATCTTCACGAGGAAGGTACTGCTGTTCATGAGCGAGGCTACTAGACCTTGAGACTATCGCGCCCGGAAGTACTCAGAAACATCGATAGCTTCTATCAGAATTAACATCAGGAAAAAATGACGGACAACGCTGCGAAAGGGCGTCAGGCGGGCCAGCATGTGTTGCTCCGCACTTCATTCCGAAATTTAACTCCGAAACTTTGCATATTAGACACTCGCACCTACAGAAAGAGAAGCTTGTTACTCTCACCCACCCTTCCATAAAATGGCGGAATCACAGTATGTCATCCTCGAAGGTCTACCGACACCGCAAACGTATCACGATCTCCGAAAGCTCGCTGGCATGACACCCCCACCCATGGAAGCCGTACCCAAGTCACTCGCCAACTCCTTCTGCTGCATCGTCGGATACGAGCGCAAAAACATGCTTGACGCAAAAACTCCGGCGCCGGGGCAGGAAGCCATCGCAATGGGTCGTTTGGTCGGCGACGGGTCGTTGTTCCTCATCTTGGTGGACGTGGCGGTGCACCCAGATCACCAGCGCAAAGGACTGGGAAAGCGCATCATGCAGAAACTTGTGGACTACGTGGATGAGCATGCACCGTCAGCATATGTGAGCCTTGTAGCTGAAGAGATGGCACAGAAACTCTACCCAATGTACGGCTTCAAAGATGTGGCACCGAGTATTGGCATGTACAGGATGATTCGGGAACGGAAGATTCAACAGGACATGGTGGAGGATGCAGAAAAGGAAGCTTGAGGTCACAAGACCTGCTACCTCTTTGAATTCTATGCAAGCCGTCGCAGTCAAAATGCAGTCCGAAGATGGTGGACGTCGCGCCGGTCAAGTGCGAGGCTTTCACATGACTGGGCAGCTGGGCAGGGGTTTGGTTTGTGGGGTGGCACCCCACCGATGGCGTCGATGCGCATCACCGCCCAGCCTTGACGAATTCACGCATCCAGCTCACAACACTCCCACGTGCGCAGTTGAATACTACGGCATTCTCGCGCGATGCGCGTCTATGAGCACTTGTGATGCCTATGTGTACTTTTCCAGGCCAGATGATGTCTCCTTCTCCACCCGGCGTCAGGGCCGAGGAACGCCCACTCTCTGTATGTACAATGATACCCAGGCCTGGTCCGCTCTACACGTGCTATCTCCACAGTGCGCGCCTATTCGGCGCGTCTTCTACCCTTATCTACATTTGCGAAGACGAGCTAATTCGTGTTCAAGCTACAGTCTCTACCCAGCGAATTGCTCCAACTCATCGTTGCCTACCTCGACACCCCTACGCTCAAACACGTCGCTCAAGTCTCCCAGACATTCCATCAACATGCCACGGATCTATTGTGGCGTCATGTCTGCTTGGTCGACCAGTGGAAGCTGCACTTGAACGAAGAGACAGATAAAATATGGGGCGAACGCGGCCGTGGTGAGCCAGACGAGCACGACGACACACCCATCATTCAGAAACTATTTATACTTGCGACGTAGGTATCTCAAGTCTTTCACGAGAACCATGCTAACGTGTCAGTAATCCTACGATCGCGTCCAAGGTCCAGACACTGTCGCATCGATGTCACCTGCCGTCTCCGAACATATTCAGCGAACTCCCACGAATGCGCTTCGACGCCGATAATCTCTCACAAGACGATCGACTACATATACTCCTCAAGCTCTCCATACGGAACCTGATCAACGTGCATACGCTGCGAATTGTATATGGGCATTACAAGCTGACGAACGCACTCGTTACTGGTCTCCTTGACCAAGGTCGACCACGACGTGTTCCTCTTCGTAAACTCTGGCTTGAGAGTTGCAGCTTTAACAAGACTGAGCTATGTCGGCTTCTACCAAACAAAGCCACTGGGCTCGAGAGCATTCGACTGCGCAGGCTTGGAAAGGACATGTCAGATCAAACACAATGTCCGGGGCTACAGTTTTCCGAGTTCAAGCTTTCCCGTGGCGGACAATACTACCAGATGCATAATGGCGCAGGAGGATTTGTTGGAACTACTATCCACTTCTCTCACGAAGGTCTGCCAGAACGCTGGCCGCGGTCTTCAACAGAAGAGTTAACGGAAAAGGCCAGAGCATACGATGCTATCATGTGGGAGGAACTTCCCGAGATTAGAGACTACATCGATGAGAATCCGGTGCATTCCGAGCCTACATCACTTGGACAGTTCGTGCCTGACTCAAGTCCCCCAATGGAATGGCTAATCGCGTGCTCCGCATCCAATCTCACCAGTCTCAACCTGGATTGGATACACTGGCGTCGAAGAGATACAGAACTCGCTGGTTCCACCACTGACTCTGAATTGTTTCTCTCTGCACTAAGCAGGCTGCGTTTCCCGCACTTGCGTGCATTCCAGATTCGGAATGCTGTCTTACCACCCACAGTACTCCCAAAGGACGTTTATCTAATGGAAGGACCTTTTCTGGACTTTGTCGAGGCGCATCCTAAGATACAGTGCCTCGGCTGGCCGATGGACAAAATGTACAGCCACACCCGGCCAACTCTTGACATTCAAAATCGATCTCGAGCTCTGGTCGCCCATTTAGCAACAACACTCACGGACCTTCGCATCGATACGCAATATGCAGGGCCTGGGGAGCCATTCACGGCGATATGCAGGACAGCAGAAGACATGCAGGAACGTACTCGGCGACGAAGATTCATCGACGAATTCGTGCCTCACATGCGAAAAGTCGAGCAGATCAAGCTAGAAGGCGGTATACCACGCGACGAGAAGCGCGAACTACTCCGAGCACTACACTGGTGTCCGCTGAAGAAGATAGTCATGATTGGCGTTTCTTTCCCAGCAGGGAATACATGGGGGGCTGGCGGACAGCAACTCAGCGCCATCGACCCAGGGCAATCCGGCTCAGAGTTCATCTACAACCTTGAAGACGAAGACCTTTCTGGCATCTTAGCCGCATATCGCCGTGGGTTTCCAATGCCCATGGACTTTACATTCGAACCGAGCTACGGTTGGCCGCCCCAAGCGCCTCTTCTCCAGACCGTCGCCCTACACCATGCGTCTACAGTTGAAGAGCTCAAGATCTGTGGCTACAACGGCTGCCCGATTCTCTCTTACACAACACCCATCACCAACCCTCTTCTCACCGGTCTCCGCTCCTTCGACAACCTCAAACAACTCGTCATCTCATTCTGGCTGATGACTTGGTATGAAGACTCCTACCGCGACACGGAGATCATCCAGTCTTGGATCGATACACGCTCCCCGTCTTCGACAGCACTCACCATTGTAACGCCTCCCGCGTCGCCAACCCATGATCAACCTGTCGACCCAGGACAGTTCCCCAACTTTGGCAACCCACGCGTTGTGCCACGGGCTCAGAACTTCAACCGGTGGGCTGTCGAGCTCAGGACCAAGTTCACACCCTCTGCACTCGCGTACCGTGTTGCGCGGGACATTGGGCCGTTCCTGAGTGACATGGCTAAAGAGAGGAAGGGCGGTGTGGGTGTGAGGGCGAGCTTCTGCCTGGGCGTAAAGGAAGAGAGGAGAACTGCGAGCGACATGTTCGATTTAGATATCAGGATCGGGAGAGGCAACCAGGTGTTGGAGTTTGTAGGGCCTAGAGAGGAAGGTGAGAAGGGGCGGTGGTGGACGAAGATCGAGCAGAGGAGGTGGTTTTGAGTGATGGAACGAGAATGTGTGGTTTACTTGTTATTAGCGTTCAAAGCACTGGTGCATGTTGATATGTGACTTGGGCCACGTGCGGAGTTTGTATAACAGCTGGTGTGTTAGTCGAGAATTATTTATCTGGATAGGCAAGATCAGGCATATAGCAACTGGCAGTGTCCTTTGTTTGTGATTTGTCAATCAGGTTGGTACATCCGCAGGTGTAATCGATACGGTCGTCTGCACTCGAGTGATGGGTCGCGGGATCGGCCAGCCATTTGCGTACATTCTTGCGTTCGGCGGTGTAGCGTGTAGAGGTCTCGGTGTTCCGCTCGGTGTATATCCATCTGACGACCTCGATAGCCTTCGCTTCCCTAAACTCATCAGTGCATCATCTGCGGTTGATTGGCACAGTCGGTGGCTTGATTCATGCTTTTATTTCGTGACAGAACATGATGAATTTTCCGTAGTTATGCCTCCAGAGCTTTGCGCTCAAACGGTGATGCCATCCTCGTTGGTGATGCGAGATGGACAGCAACCGGGAGAGGGATGACAGAACGCCCCATGCCGAGCAATACCATTTGCCTATAAGAACCCGCTTTTCGATCATGCACCCGTCCGAATGGCCTTCATCGCGCCTCTACTCCTCCTCGTCGCCAACCTTAAGCTTCATGCGTTTACGAGGACTTGACGGTGGGGCCCTTGGCACCCTTGGGTGTGCCAGTTTGGAATCCGTTGCTGAACTTGCGGTTGACGGTCTTGAGGTATCGCATGCGGCCGGTACCGGTGGTCTTCCTGCGCTTGGCCTTCTCACCCCAGTTGACTGTTCCAATGTTAATCTTCGCGTTCGGTGTGCGCGTTTTAGGTACACGTACACTTGCGGGTCTTAGCAGCAGGGTAGCCGCATGAGGCGCAGGTGTGCTTCTGGATGTGGAGGGATCGTTGACCTGGACATTGAATTAGCCCTTGTCTCTTTCCGTGCCTTCGCATTCCCATTGCTAGCTTCCAGGGAGGTATCACGTACCGCAACGCCTGCAGAGCGTGTGCGTCTTGTTGTGGCGCTTTCCGAAACTGGAGGTACCCTTCGCTATATCGCAGTCAGTCTCGAAGCTCGTGGTTGCGGGTGAGGGTGGGAGTGCGGCGTACTCATTTTGGCTGGGGACTAAAGAGGAATCGTCAGTAACCGGTCATCTACACAGCAATTCGGGAGAGCATACCTGGTGACGCTGTTGTTAGTATCGAGGGTGGGAGTGATCGCGGTTTCGTCGTGCGAGAGCGAAATCGACAACAGCTTAGCGAGACACAATTTCGAACGTGTGTGGGGCTAGCCGTTTCGGGAATGGCGCGACGGGGCTCCACCGGCAGGCACGAGGGGCATCAACACCAGCAGGAACATCGTCACAGCGAGCAGCAACGATCAACGCTCTGCCATCGCTTAATCTGTTCTTCCATCGATCAATCGGAGGCCTCAAATCATCCACATCGAAGGCGCCTTTGGTTGCCACCCAGAAACTCGGGACGCCCTCAACAGCGATCTCTACGGACACCACGACGGGCCTTATCACTTGTGATCAGCATCATTGCTTGTAGACTGTTTTTGATGTTAGTATCTTGACGAATGCCATTTCCGTTTCGAGTATCGCGCTTGGAAGGGCGGGACGTTCATTGCTCTACCCGCCATGTCACTAATGTGGGATGAAGAACAGCTGTCAAATTCCGGAAAAACTATCATCGAATACATCGGAGAAAATTTACATCTCATCATGCGTCATCTAGGGTATATGATTACCTGACATGTCTGATATGCACCTTATAACGACTTGATTATGCGGTCGTGCTCAGGTCGCCGGTGACGAGTTAGTTGTCGCATATCTCGTCGTATGTCGCATACCCCAGAGGAAGAGGTTTGCAGACTCAGAAGCGCCACCGATACGTTACTCTGCCCATGTGATCCATTACAAGCCAGTACGGTTAGAAATAATGCAGGTCGCGGCTCGGGACATGGCAGTCGACATTTAGCACCATGTCGATTGATGACTGCACCTCCCAGCTGAGTTCCGCATATGAAAGTACTCACGATATATCACCCAGCAATACACAATGCAGTCTACATAACATAGCCTATACTGTGTGTGACATTTGTGACATATCTGTGGCTCATCCGCGGATGTCGGCAGAGCCATGAGAGCTGATACCGCGCGTCAAAGTATCGGAAGTGAACTTCAAATGAAGAAGGTATCCCGTGATGGCACACGTACCGCTGAATCCGCAAACAAGATACCTCCCGAGTCAATATGATACAAAATGTTCCCATGTAGAGCCGCCCAAACTCATCGTCACCCAGTTGCGCTAATGTTCCCTCGCAGGTACAGCAGCTCCTCCAAGTCCCTAGTCATGTCCGTTGGATATAATCGCTGAATCCCAAATGCATCGTTGGCAGTCGGCTGAGTTTACTTTGGCTGACCCTGGTTGTTGAAACCGAAGTCCTGGTCAGTAGAGTTCGCAGAGTAACCGAACGGAGGATAGCCTCCGCCAGAATAGCCACTGCTGTACTGACCGCCATTGTTGTAGAGGTAGGGGTTCGCAGCGTATGATGGACGCTCTTCCTTGCCGTTGCGGCCAGCGTAGGCAGGACGCGCAGTCCAATGATTGCCGTTCTGATGACCGTTCTGATAGCCAAGACGAGCGTCATTATGGCCGTCCTGAGGAGAAGACATGCCGTGCTGCATCACAGGCTGGAGTTCGCGGACAACCTCAGGGATGTTACCATAGTGACTTGGCAGAGAGTGTGGAGAGCGCTGGTTGTGCGAGGGGAACGGCGGCTGAGGAGTGTGTGGCGGCTCAGCAGCCTTCTGGTCCATGGACTTTTGCAAAGCCTGAATGATCTGCTTCATTTCCTTCATTTCCGCCTCCATGATGGCCATCTTCTTATCCTGCTCCTTCATCGCGTCCGGAATGGTCTCCTTGATACTATCCTTGATGGTATTCACGGTTGCGTAGATGTTGTGTTGGTTGTCCGCTACTTCCCTTACGCGATCGATGGAAGTCTCTACGCGATTGGCAGTTTCCTTGACAGCATCTAGATGAGACGAGAGTTGCTTGAAGCGCCTGTCGACCAGTGCCAAAGTATCATCATGCCTCGCCTTTGATGTACGTTCCTGGTCCTTGGTGAGCGTCTCCAGTGCGTCCCAAGTAGTCTTACCCACTACATCGAGGTGCTCATTGGTCATGTAGAAGTGGTCCTCGATGGTCTTGGGTGCAAGCGGCTGGGTAATTGCGCTGTAAGACCCGGAAGGCGCACTCGCGCGTGCTGAGAACGGAGGACCAGAAATCTTGTGAAGCGGACTGGGAACGGCACTAGGACAGTAAAGCTGGAAATCGCCGTGCGAATCACTGCGGCCTGGGCTGACAGTATTGAGCATATCAGTCAGCCTTGACGAGGACTGATCACCGAGATTGCCGTTCCTTTGTCGTGGGTTCTCATTCTGCTCTCCAATACGCAATTCTTGCATGACGCGGGTTGTGATGCCAACATCGGAGCGCTGATCACGTTCATGAGTGAGCTGCTCGTTTTCATCGACTTCGCGAGCAGTTGGAGAGTTTGGCTCGATATCCTGGCGGTCTCCTTGGAAGATCATCTTGATTGAGCCGTCGGCCGACTCTTCGCGAGGGTGGAGGACCGACCGTGACCTTGCGGGGTGTGAGTAGAGAAGGCGCGTTTCGTCAGACTGAGAGAGTTATTAGCATTTGTACCAGCACATTAGAGGAAGAAGCGGGGTACTGCGTGTGAAGGTACCTGGGCAAGTAAACGCTGAAGGGACAGATGACGACAGGCCCCACTTTTCGGGAAGGTGAGAGAAAGAGCCCTGGAAGCAATAACGGACTTACATTCTTAGACGGTGTCTCGCCTTCAGCGAAGGGAAAATGAGTGATGCGGGATGGAGAATAGAAGTGCGGCTGGAGATGGGGACCATTGGCGGGGTTGGTCTCTTGCGTTGTGTTCGGACACTCCTCCCTCAGGCGGTCGGGACGAGGAAGGTGCAATGAGCCAAGGCCCGCACCTGCCAAAGGAGCATGGTGTTTGCCTTCTGCCTTGGTTGGCGAACTGTCCCAGTTAGGGTAGGGCCGTTGCACTGATCCATCCTCTATGAGCTTGGTGTAGTCTTCTGCGGTATATGGGCGGGACTTCGCGGGACTCGATCCACCATGTCCAGGCAGGATATATGACGAACGGACGGGCGAAAGATCAAACTTAGGGAACTGGATACGGCTGATGTTGTCGTTGAAGTCCGAATAGCTGTCACGTAAATCACCACGCGTTGGCGCAGCCCTGCGAAGTGGGCTGGGCTGCCTCTCAGCTGGTGGCGGAGTATCCTTTGCTGGTGGTGAAGGCGGTATGACTGAATCGGACGATTCGTTGACATCAGGCACGGGGCGTGTGTTCTCTACGTTGTACGACTGCTTCTTCAGGCTACCTCTACCCGGTGAGCCACGGCCACTCGTGCGATGGCGACGCGAAGATCCGCTATGATGGCGATGGGCGTAGCTGTCAGGATTAACGACCTTCGCAGGCAGAGACTTCACCGTGTCTGAGCGTGAAGTCCTTGTAGGGGTGGACTCGACAGGGCGTGCTGGCTTTATGGGGCGGACTGGGATGATGCGAGCCTGACGTGATGCTGTGCCCAAAACCTGCGCTGCTTTGTTTGGCATTGCTGGTGGAGCTGCAGCACTAGAAGACTTGGAAAAGGTATTACGGAGGTTCTGGAAAAGCTTTTTCTTCGGGCTTTTGGGCGGCTCCTCGCGTTCTGGCTGTTGATCTCCACTGGCGATCCGGCACTGTCGTCGTAGGTCTTCCGTCCTGATGTAGATTTCGTCCTCGTTTGCCGAATCTACAAGTTTTAGCACAAGATTGTATACGCAGTACCGTAGACTCACCAATCATTGGAGTGGGCGGAACTTGACCCGTCATCTTGAACAGGTTCTTCTCAGCGCGAGATTCCACCTTTCCTCTAGCCGTCTCCTCGTCGAGAGCTTCAATCTGGGCCTGTGCAGCTACAGCTTCATGTTGACTGCGTCCTGACTGCCTCGAACGTGCCGTCGAGCCGGCATTGCTACTTATCCAGGATCCGTGATCTGACTTGCGGGGAGAACGTGCCTGATCGATTAGATTGGTGAACGTAGCCATGGCGGTGCGACTTCTGCCCGACCCCGAGGCTGGAGTGTGTGACTCAATAGGCGAGGTCAGCGGCGTGTTGTCGGTAGAGCGCTGTCCTTGCTGCCTTTGCTGGTCGATGGTCGGTAGAGGGCGCGGAGGCGGCGGCAACGGGAGCGTGATCGGCGGCGGGCGCTTCTTCTCTTCGGTGAACTGGTACGCCATGGGTGCAAGATTTCGTCCAAGTGGGGGATCTGTCCCAAGTGTGAGGAGTTGAGCAGGTGAAGAGGCTTAGAGTCGAACCGGAGTGGTCGTAGCTCAAATAGCGTGAAATGATAGAATTTCCTGTCTCGACCAAAGCGTCAGTATTCGAGTCTTGCAAGTAGCAAAAATCACATGAATCAGAGAACAGAGGAGGCGATCGCGCTGCGGAGGTGTTGCGGTAGAGGTTCGTCCACGACAGAGATCGCGTTGTTGAGCAAGACGTAACGGCAAGGCAACAACATCATCAACAACAGTGACGACAGCAAACGCGCTCCTCGTTCACCTCATCTTAAAAGAGGGGTAGCCCACGTGAGGACGCAGACTTGCAAGAGGAGATCAAGCAAGAGATGGCATCCGCTGTAACGCAGTGGTTACACTAGGCGCGCAGTGGACAGCCCCTAATTTGCATTTTACTTGCCTTTCCAAGCATCAAGATATGTCTGCTTGTTGCATCTTGAACGTAACGTGCAATTGACGGGAGATTGAGTAAAATGCATAGAACGAAACTGAGCAGATTGAAAGAGAACACTACCCACAATGGCGCCTGTATTCGAGAGGTATCCAAAAGATTCACGCCTAATCAAAGAATATCTGCAAACCAACGCTCCCTAGCATGCGGTTATTCGTAGTTGCCGCATCTCAAAGGACAATGCACTTCTTGCCCTTCTTCCTCTCGCCGCCCTCTTTCTTCGCGGCTGGCGGCTCAAGTGCTGCTACGATCGCCTGTGGAGATGTCAGCATCTACATCAACCAATCTTGTGCAATATGCTTACCTCGTCAAACACGTCCTTGAGCTTGTATTGGGTCAGCGCCGAACACTCGACGTACTTGACCGCACCAAGCTCCCGCGCCATGCGCTCGCCGTCCTCCTTCTTTACAGGCGCCATTCTCTGTTTTGAGAGCTTGTCTTTTACTGCAGCGTCCTCCCTCAGATCTACTTGTGTGCCGACGATCAGGCAGGGCACGCCCGGGCAGTGGTGATGTACTTCGGGGAACCATTTCTCGCGGACGTTCTCAAAAGAAGCGGGTGAGGTCACGGAGAAGCAGACGAGGAAGACGTCGGTTTGGGGGTATGACAGCGGCCGGAGACGGTCGTAATCTTCCTGTCCGGCAGTATCGAAGAGACCGAGGGTGTATGGCTCGTCACCGATCCTTCAAAGCAGTCAGCAGCTGCTCCACCAATTACTGTCCCAAACCTAAATCCACCGAGGGTTTGCCGCAACTCCAAATTGTGCAAAGAGCAGAGGGAAGCTCACATGACGGTCACGGCGTAGTTGTCGAAGACTGTAGGGACATATTCCGAGGGGAACTTGTTCGTGGTATAACTGATAAGAAGACATGTCTTTCCGACCGCACCGTCGCCGACGACGACGCACCTGTAGGGTAGTAAGCACTAGCATCTGGAGCATGGCGGTCGCACGCCGGGCATGTTGGGCTTCGCGTACTTGATTGTCGCGACCACCATGGTGAAGGCAGGCTGGGATTTGTTTCGAGGCTATGGATGTTTGTTTGGAGGCACGTCGGCTACCAAAATTCGAGATAGGCGTGCGGAGATGGGGCGGAGCTGTCGCTACGCAGGCTCAGGGTCGTGGTCGTGCGGAGATGGGAGCTATGGGCTCAAACGAGGGGTTCCAGGGAGCGGGGAGCGTCTGGCAGACGGGTCAGTCTCACAATTGCTGGCGCTGGCTGTGATGGCAGACTCGGGCAGGCGTACCTATGAGTCCTCGTGCAGACGGCGGCGGCGGCGGGTGCTACGTGGGTTGGAGCGTGAAACACCACCCGTTAGACTTGGTCCAGGTTCTGGTGAGCCGGTGGGCGGACAATGCGGCGAGCGATTGAGGCAGTGCTAGCGACGAGGCACGCGACCGGACAAGGACAGTACAGGCGCAGCAGCAGCCAGCGATGAGGCGAGTTCACAGAGGGCGACGGGACGTTTGGAGGGCGTGAGTGAGGTTGCGCTCTAGCTACGGCAGCCGAATCCCTTGAGCTGGAAGACGCCAATCAGTGAAAGCGGCCTAGGGCTGTTATCATAGCCTTGCATCGGCTCCCGCCCGTAGCTCGGAGACGGCTTATTATGTACGGCTGCACAATTTCAAGCCCTATTTTGCGGCCTCTGCTGGCCAGACCTGGGGCGCCTTGGAATCACCCAACGCGTGGCAGACCCATTGCTGCAGCGCCGCAGACACGACCCCACCACCAACACCGGCCGACATTGGCTTGATAGACGCAGCGAGGCACGGCGTGAATACACGCTGCCTCTAGATGCCAGCGCGCATGCTACCTGTGGCCCAGCGAGATCCCGGACAAGCTCAGTGAGCCCCAGATTTGGGAACGAACCGTGCACATGGACAACGTGGCTGATCGTCCTCTAATAGCATGGCCTGGCGGTGTTTGCGCAAGAAGTCGGCCTGTAATGAATCATCCGTAGTAGCACACAGTACGTCCAGGATCGGCAGCCCTTCTTTACAACACACCTCCGCTGGCTTCGGCCAAAGCTGGTATATTGCCATAAGCGCACACCCCTATGTACTCGCCCACAGACAGCTCATTCACGCGACATGCGAGCCAGGTGCAGCTTGACCCATTGCCGATTGAGTCGAATCTTAGAATGCTGCAGGGCAACCTTGGCAGACCCCAGCTCGCCCAATCAGCATCTCGCCTCGGCACGGAACAACCTCGTCTCCCGGGAGCTAGGGCGCTCCCTCCCCATCTGTCTCCATTCGTCTCATCTCACGGTTGCATCACGCACGAGAGCGGCGCCGCACATCACTTAGCCGTCGCGCCTCAATCTATTCTATGACAGTGCTGCCATGGATGACCTCGAAGACGAATTGGATCTTCGTTTTCACAAGGGGCTGAGTCCCGATGTCTACTACCGCTGTCCTACGCTCGAAGTAATATCATCTTCGCAATCTGTATCGACGTAGCTAAACTGCCATGTAACAGTCACTGGAGGGAGCTCTGCGCAATGAGCTGGACAAGAACGCAGCCAGCTTCATTCCCACAGACGTGGTGACCGAGTTCATTTTCGCGACAGCCTCAACCATCACCATCCCCGTGACGCAGCAGCCGAGCCTTGACGCGCTCATACAGCCAGCCGATCACCTTCAGAGCATTGCTGCCGAGTACGCGCTGTGTCGTGACATTGACGGCAAAGACAGGCTCAAAGTGCAGCGAGCAGTAGCGAGGTACTTGAGCCCACATATCTGCACTATGCCCGCTTATGCACGATAGATCCATCATCGAAGCCATTCAGGACACCGATGGTTTCAAGTACTCCGAGCGCTCTGCGCAGAGTAAAGAAGGCGGTGATGGTGCCAGGCTCAAGGTAAGGCACTGCCAAAATAATAACCAGTTCCTCGTTGTGGCTGACGATGGTAGTATGTTTGCCAAGACAGCGTCCAGAACCGCAAAAGCAACCTCAAGAAAGAAAGGTCTCACGATAGCGACGACGACGAGGCTGGAGTCAACAAGCAGGGGCCGGCTGTGCTGCCGACCTACGACTGCGGAGGCGCAATACACATCAAATTCTCACTCAAGAGAGAGGCCATAAATGTTGTGTATAAGCATAATCCTATCCATACCACCCGCGAGATTGATGCCGGGTACGTTAAGGCAGCAAAAGACACTGGTTGAGCGACATCCAAACTAACTTCTAATAGCCTACCTGCCTTAGCCACAGATAACGGCGTTGCTCCCACTGCCGCTGCTACGGAAGAAAAGGAACCGCGCAAAAGAAAACGTAGTAAAAAGAATGTTGTTGAAGCAGACAACGACTTCGGGGACCCAGATATGGACATGTCAACGTCTCCGGAAGCCACAAGTTCATCGACGAAGAAGAGGCGCAAGGGAAGTGGTGCCGTGGCCTCTCCTAGGACAGTGCGGAAACCATCCACCAAGAAGAGCAAGAATGCCAAATCGCCTGCATCACCCACCAAATCGAGGAAAAAGGCGCCTGTCAGTGAACCATCACCGCCGTCGCTACCTGCTCCTGGCAAAGCTTGCATTCGCTGTCGCGGAAAGAAGATCAAATGCAACGAGGCGAAACCGACGTGCAACCAGTGCCGACGAGGACTATGGACCTGTCAGTATGAAGTGTTGAACAATAAGAAGCGCTCCAAAAACGGCTGTCTTAATTGCAAGCAGAGACGACGGAAGTGTACAGAAGAAAGGCCATCGTGCGCATACTGCTTACGACTGGACGATGACTGCGAATACGCTGACTACTCCTGAGGATCTTTATGTCTAGTAAAAGTCTTACAACTCAAGCGATAAATGACTCAGCACCCGCCAAACGTCAGGCTTGGCACAAATGCGCAGGCCTTGTGACGGCAGGCAGAGTGCTACAACAGGCGAATATCTTGACATGATGCCAACTTCGTAGTCATGTAGGTTTCTGAGACATGCATACAATTTTTGCAGTGCTGACAGGAGAATTAGACTGGAAAGCATGTTGTACGTTGAGGCATACGCTACTTTTCCGCAATGTCAGCACAGGCAGGGCGGGTGGAAGCACGGAAGCTCCACACAACAATGCGCAAAGGCTAAGTGTACAAGGCCGTTCAAGCAATTGACCCTTGAAGGCCTGCAATTAAGAAACTTCACTCCTATTGCAGTAAGTTTCTGCTAAGCCCTTGGGCGCGATGTAGCGTCCTGTATTACTAGGGTCCTCGGGTTAGCGAATAGCAGAGACCATCACTTGATCAGACTAGTTCACCTAAGCAGTTCATTAACCATCACACGACTGAGCCGCATGTTCCCCACAACGTCCACTGCGAATGTCAAGGGTGCAGTAATTGTTTATCGGGGCAACATCCGCTTGTGATGCAGTGTTCCGAAGTTTGATTCGCGGCTGACCCTAGTCACCGGCTGTAGACCCTGGGTCAACGGCCCGCCTCCATTTACTCCCTCTCACCGTCTCATCTAATTCAACGATCACCCCTCTACATCACACGTCATGCAGCTTGTAAGTTTCTTGGGGTCTGGGGTTACCGTGCTGGATGCTGGCATTTCGCCAAGGGCCAATTTTGACGAAAAACAACAGTCTCGGGCTTGTGCGTTGCGCAGCATGGACGATCCGCGGGTATTTAATAGGAGACATGCCCGAGTGAATGTTTGCGATCCATACGGTTTCCTGTACAGCTTTTTAGACCGTTGAGATTTCGAGCACGATGCGTTCTTTTATTCTTCCGGTGCTCGCTACGGCTGCTTTATCGCAAGCCTCGGGTAACTACATCCATGATCAATACAACTACGTGTTCACTACTAACAAGTGCAGCCATTCCATCCGAATTACTTTCTTCGAAGCGTGCCGTAGGGAACTGGGACGATGCCCATGCAAAAGCGACGGCTGCTCTTGCAAAACTATCACAGAACGAGAAGATTGGCATCGTTACGGGTGTGGGTTGGCAGAACGGTAACTGCGTTGGCAACACCAAACCGGCTGCTTCGATTGGATATCCGTCACTCTGTCTGCAAGGTAAGCAAATATGTCTCACTACTTTCGAGCCGGCCCGTGGTTTGTGGCATCGGAGTCAAGATGCTGTGACCCTACGAATATGTTGTGTTCAGCGACTTCGGTGCTTGGAACTTGAAGCGTGGCCAGGTCACGTCGAACCCACTTCTCAACGCCTGCTCACTGTATGCGTACATCCAAAACAGGGTTCTTACTAACAGCCTCAAGATGGACCCCTCGGCGTTCGATACATCCAAGGTGTAACTGCATTTAGCGCAGCTATCCATGCCGCCAGCACCTGGGATCTCGATCTCATTCGTGAACGCGGCGCCTTCCTTGGTGCTGAAGCAAAGGAGCTGGGCGTTCACGTCCAGCTCGGACCTTCAGCTGGACCTCTCGGAAAGTTTGCCAACGGTGGCCGAAACTGGGAAGGATTCGGTTCCGATCCCTACCTCCAAGGCATTATGATGGCAGAGACCATTGAGGGTATGCAAGAATCCGGTGTTCAAGCGACAGCTAAGCACTGGATTGTCAACGAACAAGAGCTCAACCGAGAGACTATGAGCTCAGACGTGTCGGATCGAGTGCTTCGCGAGCTCTATGTATGGCCATTCATGGATGCAGTCCATAGCAACGTCGCGGCCTTTATGTGCAGTTACAACAAGGTCAACGGAACTTGGGCCTGCGAGAGCGATGGTGTGATGAACAAGCTCCTGAAAGACGAACTTGGCCATCGTGGATACATCATGAGTGACTGGAATGGTGGGTCATCTGCACACTCTTCAGATATGTTTCACAAGCTGACCTCATTTAGCTCAACACACGACGACCGGCAGTGCAAACGGTGGAATGGACATGACCATGCCCGGCACCGACTTCAGTGGTGGCAACGTCTTCTGGGGCCCACAGCTTCAGTCCGCCATCGACAAAAAGCAGGTTCAACAATCTCGCCTCGATGACATGGTCAAGCGCGTACTCTCTTCCTGGTACCTCCTTGGTCAGGACAAGGGCTATCCCAATGCCACCTTTAGCTCCTGGAACATCGGCACTCGTCAGGTCGGCGGCAACCACAAGACAAACGTCCGTGCTACGGCCCGCGATGGTATCGTCTTGTTGAAGAACACAAACGCTACATTGCCCTTCAAGAAGCCCAAGAGCATCGCTGTCATCGGAAGCGACAGCATCGTTGCGCCTAAGGGAGCTAACGCATGCGTTGATCGCGGATGCAACGACGGCACGCTAGCTATGGGTTGGGGATCTGGATCAGTGGAGTTCCCCTACCTCATCGCTCCTCTCGATGCAATGAAGACGCAAGCCCAGAAAGACGGCACCACCATCACCTCTTCACCAAACGACAATGCGCAACAGGGAGCTAGTGCAGCTCAGAACGCTGATGTAGCTGTCGTGTGCATCAACAGCGATGGTGGCGAAGGATACATCACTGTTGAGGGCAACGCTGGCGACCGAACTAACCTGGACCCGTGGCACAACGGAAACGAGTTGGTCAAGGCAGTTGCTGCCGTCAACAAGAAGACAGTTGTCGTGGTCCACAGTGTCGGCCCCGTCATCATGGAACAATGGGTAAGGAATTCGACTCAAACTGCATTTAAGACATACACTGACTTGCGCAGATCGAGAACCCGAACGTAGTAGCTGTTGTATGGGCAGGCCTGCCAGGTCAGGAATCCGGAAACGGCCTCGTCGACATCCTCTACGGCGCTGCCTCGCCAAGCGGCAAGCTCCCCTACACCATTGCGAAGAAGGAATCAGACTACGGTACCACCATTGCCAGGGGTGACGACAAGAACTGGGACCTCTTCATCGACTACCGTCGTTTTGACCAGCAGAACATGACACCCAGATTCGAGTTCGGCTTCGGTCTCTCCTACACCAACTTCACCTACTCCGACCTCAGCGTCTCAGGCAAGCCCTCGGCTGGTCCCGCAACCGGTGCCAAGGGTCCCGGAGGCCCTGTCGATCTCTTCGAGACGGTCGCAACCATCACTGCGAAGATCAGCAACTCCGGTGGTGTTGCAGGTGCAGAGGTTCCGCAATTGTATCTCGGCTACCCTGCGTCGACCAACTCGCCTCCCAAGCAATTGAGGGGTTTTGCGAAGCTCAAGTTGGCAGCTGGTGCGAGTGGAACTGCTACTTTCAAGCTGAGGAGAAGGGATATGAGCTTCTGGGATGAGAAGACCAGGAAGTGGAGCGTTGCGACTGGAGAGTACAAGATCTTTGTAGGATCGAGTTCCAGGGATGTGAGGCTGACAGGTAAGATCACTGTTTAGTGATATGATCTAGAAGGCCAAGCTGGTTGGAGGAAGTGCATCCACTGTACTCAATAGTCAAGTAGAAACACAGAAATTGCTTGAGAAAAAGAAATCCGTGATCACCGTTGTTGCCATAGCCTCCCGTGATGGATTCAGTCGAATAACACTTTCAGGGAATCCAAGTTGTGTGTTCTTCAGGGGCTGACACGCGGATTCAGCGGATGTGCGGAGACATGTTCGGCAAATTATAAAGCTTTCGATCGTCATGATCCCGATATCGGGACAAAGCAAAACTGTGACAGTCACTCCTCATTTGTGTGCGGATACCGTAAAATCCTCCCCTGAGAACACTTTCAGGCTGCGATCGACAAGATAAGACGCCACATTAGATGAAAAATGCTCGTCATACCCTATGCCAGGCGGTAGTCAAGCTCAAAGGCGCAATCGCTAGACGACTACATACACATCTCTGACAACGATTCTGAAGCTTATGTGTTACTTGACATTGTACATAAATTGATGTGAGTATTCTTGTAGCCCTAATTCTGCACGGTAAGACACAACCTTTGCCAGACTCTCGCGACAGTACTAGGGGACAGCGTACACTACGCGGTAGTAAGGCTCAAAGAGACCTGATAGCGGGGCCGGCATTCATCATCCAGTCTCCCCGGACGTTTGTCATAGTATATGGATCCTGTGTTGAAGAAACTTTGCGACCTATCGTTATCGTGGCCGAAAGTATATTGTAAAGGTTGTCATTGGCGCAGGTGCGTGTCATTGCGCCTTAGCGCGATTCTGGTGCTGGGGCAGAAAAGCCCCTCCGATTACTCTCCATCCTCACCTCACGCAAACTCAACACCTTCAAAGCTAGCACGTCAAGCTTCGCCTCAGATAGGCAGCCCCTTTGGACCTCGACTGGCTCTACTACCGCGCTTATGAAAGCTGCCCCGACAGTCTTCACTTCCCAGGTATGTCACTACTGCCATGGTTGATGAGCCCTTATCGGGACCTGCATCGCACACCGTCAATTCACCGCCGGCCTTTCTGCCTCTTGGTGGCTTGACGATCGATGCATTCGTCTCTTGATTTTTTTCTTCGATTCTTCTATCATGACTGTGGCTAATTGAACCCCTTAGGATTACCTGTCAGGTACGATGTCGCCCGTAGCTAGACGCGTCGTGAGCGTCAGACTGACTCTATCCGCAGACCACCTGTGGAAGGCCTCAGTAAACTGAACGCCTACCCAAGCTGCCACCAAACGAATCACTACATCTCCTCACATCTCCGCTCATCATGTTGTCGCAAATGATCAAGCCTTCCACCATGCGGTCCGCAGGGTTCCTGGGACGAATGACACAGAACCGTGTCCAGGCACGCTGCCTCGCTACTGTGGAAGGAAACACACAACGTGCCATTCCTACTCCCAGCATGCGCAGGGCTACAGCTGTCTCCAACGAGCCCGCTACCTTCACCATCAAGGTGCGTTGAGTCATACTGCAGATCTCGGCACATCACTAACAGCTGACTAGAACGGCCCCATCTTCGAAGGCAAGTCTTTCGGAGCCAAGACGAACATCTCCGGTGAAGCCGTCTTCACAACCTCTCTCGTCGGTTACCCCGAGTCCATGACCGACCCCTCCTACCGTGGCCAGATCCTCGTCTTCACACAGCCGCTGATCGGCAACTACGGCGTCCCCTCCAACGCCCGCGACGAGCACGGCTTGCTCCGATACTTCGAATCCCCACACATCCAAGCCTCTGGCATTGTCGTCCAGGACTATGCTCTGAAGCACAGCCACTGGACTGCTGTAGAGTCACTCGCACAATGGTGTGCACGAGAGGGTGTTCCCGCCATCTCCGGCGTTGACACTCGTGAGGTTGTAACATACCTCCGTGAGCAGGGTTCTTCTCTTGCTCGTATCTCGATCGGCGAAGAGTACGACGCCGACGAGGATGAGGCGTACATTGACCCTGAGGCTATCAACCTTGTGCGTCGTGTATCGACCAAGGCTCCCTTCCACGTCAGCTCTTCCCTCGGCGACATGCACGTAGCTCTGATCGACTGTGGTGTTAAGGAGAACATCCTCCGCAGTCTTGTCTCTCGCGGTGCCAGCGTCACCTGCTTCCCCTTCGACTACCCCATCCACAAGGTCGCCCACCACTTCGACGGTGTCTTCATCTCCAACGGCCCTGGTGACCCAACTCACTGCACCACCACCGTCCATAACCTTCGCAAGCTGTTCGAGACCTCCCAGATCCCCGTCATGGGCATCTGCATGGGTCACCAGCTCATCGCCCTTGCTGCCGGTGCAAAGACCATCAAGCTCAAGTACGGTAACCGTGCTCACAACATCCCGGCTCTCGACCTCACCACCGGCAAGTGCCACATCACTTCGCAGAACCACGGATACGCGGTCGACCCAACTACCTTGTCCAGCGAATGGAGGGAGTACTTCACCAACCTCAACGACCAGTCCAACGAGGGTCTGATCCACAACTCGCGTCCCATCTTCAGTGCCCAGTTCCATCCCGAAGCCAAGGGTGGCCCTCTTGACTCTGCGTACCTCTTCGACAAGTACATGGAAAACGTGGCGCAGTACAAGAACAACCAGTTCTCTGACAAGAGCAACAAGCCCAGCCCTCTTCTTGTGGACTTGCTGAGCAAGGAGCGCGTTGGCTGCCACCCCGATGCGCCAGACTTTGAGGGTCACGCAGCGGGCATGGAAAACCAGGACATTACGGTGGGCGGACCCGTCGCTCCTTCCTACCAGCCTATTACGCAGAAGCCCGTTGCTTCCGCTGCTTAGACTGGTTCGGTATCATGTCTGATGGCAATGCGTTAGTTGCGTTTTAGGGATCTTGGGGGAATGGCTATAGCGGCGTTATGGGAACAGGGGGATAAATTGACAAGGAATATGTGTCGGGTCGAAAGGCGTATCTCGACCAGGCCTTGGGTATTTCTGTAGTAATGCAATTTTCATGGAAATGTATACTGTGCGAACGCGGTTGGTATGTGGAAAGTGATGTTTGTGTCTGTGTCAGTATTCTGTTTCGACTAGCTATACTAGCATGGGGTATCTTGATATGTACTTTCTCATCTTGACCACATCGAGAGCGCGAGTTCAAGCCTTTCCAAACCCAGGCTCCTCCTCCAACTCCTCTTCCCCTTCTCCTTCCCCTTGTGTCTCAGTAGCCACACTTTCTTTCATAGACTCCTCCACCTTGCCATCCGGAACCTTCCTCTCCCGTCTTTCCTGCTCCTTCTTCCTCGCACCCGCCTTTAGTTTCTCCCATTGTTCTCTGTATCTGCTCAACACCTGCTTGTCCCTTTCGTTCTGCTTGGCCAGCTTCTCATTGGCACTCAATAAATCATTGTACTTTGCGTCTTGCGAGGCGACCCTGGCTTCGAGTTCGGCGATGCGTTTCGCAGCGTCGGCGTCGGGGGCGGATGTCGGAGGCTGGCCGGGGGAAGTAGGTTGTTGTTGGGGGTGGCCTGGTATGGGAGGGGAAGGGAGAGCCGGAAGGGTGTTGATGCCTTGAGAAGCGAGGGCGTGGGCGAGGGCATTGGGATCGCTGGAGCCACGGCCGGGTCCTCGAGCACGGAAGGACTGTGCGAGGGCGTTGAAGGAATTCTGGGAGTTGAGTTCCCACATCTGGATGCGCTTGGCTTGTTTGTCGATGACCGATTTCAGCGTGTCGTTTTCTAGGGCTAGCTCCTCCATGGTCTTGAGGCCTGAGCCTCTGCCGGCTGGTATGGAGCGCTGGGGCGTTACGGATGTGCTGGAGTTGCCGCGGGAAGGGGGGCGACGTGCTTTGGTGGGTGACGGCGGGCCTACGTTCTCTCTCGCGTCGACAAACTCTTCGTGTGAACTCCCTCGCAGCGAGCCCGATCCCTCATCTATGGCATTGAGCTGTGTGTTTGGTGCATTTGGCGCATTCGGATCGCGAAGGATGCTGGCGTATGTGACTGCTCCGCTCGATGTTGGCACCAGGTAGAAGCTTTCGTTGGGGCCGGGTGCGCCATCCTCTCTCAGGGCGCGAAGTGCCGGCTTGCTTATCAAGGCAGCGAGGTCTGGTACGGAGGATTTGACGGTTCTCGACGCTTCTGGGGAGTGCGTTCGGGACTTGGTCTTGGAGGATTTCTCTTCCCTAGGTGTCTCCGACACAGGCGTTGGAGCGGAGGGGTTGAGGGGAAGGGAAGTGAAGGCTAGAGGAGCGCTGATGGCGGATATGACACCCCCAAAAGCCGAGTAGAAGCGACTAAAGTTGTCCTCTGCGGGCGGGGATGTAGGTTGCGGAGAAGCGCCTTTCAGCTGCTTCGCTGAGTCTCTGGTGGCACTCGACTCTGCTTTGCGCGACTGCTGCGCCAGTAGATCGCGCACAGGCGTGGAAGGCTGCTCATTCCGGCCGGCTGTGGTGGCGCTGGGTATGTTTGCTGACGCGCCACTGGTGGTTCTCTTCGCGCTGGGGATGCCGCGCTTCTCGGCGAGGTTGGTGGCTATCGAGGACTGGGGCAGTCTGCGGCGGGACGTCGGGGGTGTCGGAGAAGATGTGTTGGCTGCAGAGGCTCGCGACGACGACGTGTTTGGCGAGGTAGAGGCGGCGGACAGGTCTGAAGGTTGTTTGGCAGCGTCCGTCTTCTTCTTGTCCTTGCGCGGCGCTTCTTTGATCAGGCCGGCGAGCTTGCGGTGGTGGTCTTCGAGGAGACTGAGGATGCGGAGGGCCTGCAACGCTTTAGACGGGTGGGATAGCCTGTGTTAGACTACATACCTCAGCATCGTGGGTATCTTGGGTGGCCTGGTGGAAGGCGGTCGCGGCGAGGTCATGCTCCTGCCCCGCGGTTGCGACGCTGTTGGTGCTGGTGGCGGTCGCGGCAGTGCGGGCGTGGTCGTGGGCGTGGATGAGATGTGCAGACTCCATGGTGGTGGCAGAGGCAGGGGGTGGACATGTTCATGGAGTCGCTGTGCATAAAGGCAGCATGACATGTGCGTGGAGGGTCGCGGTCACGTCGACAGGGATATGAAGGCGGCCCCCCATGTCACTGCGGAGTAGATCACCGGGCTAAAGACCCGCAGCTACTGGAGACGTTGGAACCAGAACACAACACGAGCAGCTCGCCCGCCTGGTTTCAGCTCGCATGCCTAGCCAGCTTGCTTCTTCTCCCACCAAACACGCCCTGCAAGCTGCTCACCACCATGATTGCCATTGCAGCTGCCACCCTGCCGTAGCCTTTCCTGTGCCGTTCCAAGCGCATCGCGAACCATAGCCGCTCCCTACGTAATCGACCCCCAACCGACCTAGCAAACACGGCCTCCAGCGTCGCAACATCGATATGCGCGTCTGAGACAATAACGAGACGCTCTACTCCCTCACAGTGCGCTGCGCTCTATAGCACACCCTCCAACCCACAATGGCCTCCGAGCGGCGCAGGAGCATTGGCTCCATGTTCGGCCAGAAGGACAAGGACAACTCGCTGGCTGCACCCCGCGCGCACTCAAAGGGCCCGGACTCGTCGACCGTCTCGATTGCGAGCAGCGACGGCAACGACGACCTGCTGCGCAAGTCGAGCGACGGCGCCATGGACCGCTTCAGGAGCCGCCAGAACTCCGACGATGCCCGCAGCGACGCGTCCTCGTCCCGCCGCCGGCGCATGTCGACGCTCTTCAAGGGCCGCTCCAAGGGCAGAGGCTCCGTCAGCCAGGACGACGTGTCGCAAGTCGACCCCCATGACGACGTCCCGCCCGTTCCTACAATTAGACGGCCGAGCATGGGCCAGCCATACCAGAGCGACGACTCGCTGGGCCTGGCCAAGAGCGTCGCCAGCAGCCTGCTCACCGAAGACTCCGACCCGGAAGCGTAAGTCGCAGCCGTTCCTTTTGCTCTCCACTCTCCTCCCTGTCTCAGCTGCACTATTATTTCTATTATTTGCATTTGCTGCGCGTCCATTCAAGTTCGGCGTGCAAGGTTTGCCTCGTGGCATTGGCGCCGCTCGCATGGACTCCACCGCGAACAGGCATACGTTCTGGCCTCAGCTTCCCCACTAGCACATCACACCTCCCACATCATCGCCTCGTATCTCGTACACTCCTTGGCTGTCGCTGTTCCATTTGTCGCTTCTCTTCATTACGCCCCTCTTTCGTATTTCTTTGCCGCATACGTACCCACTCGGCCTGCAGTTCCGACTAACCCGCTGCAGCCCACCACCACTCAAACGTCCTGGCATTTCACCACACCAGTCGCATGCTGGCCTCTTGACGCTGTCATCGCCCCTGATCGCTTCCGAAACGATTGACTCGACCACTTCCACCAATGTCACTCTCGTAGACTCACAAGCCTCTACCCAAGAGCCCGCTGCCCGGAACGCCAACTCCACCAACGTCGCTGCGAACAAGCGGGGCGTGTCTCCTGTCGGCAAGCTCAAGGAAGCTTTCACACCCAACAAAAGGTCTACGTCCCCGAATCCTAAGCCAGGTGCTAGCCCTGACGTCGCACGACCGAGCACGAGCGGAGGTGGACTAGGAGCCTTGTTTGGAGGAAAGAAGCGCGAGACGAGGGTGTTGGATGATCCGATCCAAGCCTCACCACCACAGATACACACAGGGCAGGAAACAAAATCTACGCCTTCACTGAGATCTGTCGCCCCGAAGCGCATCGTTACCTCGCTCCCCGCGACGCCCCCCAATCTATCTGATGCACCCACCACCTTCATAACACCACCCACCCCAACCGATCCGAAGCCTTCCTCTCCGACTGAATCCACCAGTTCCAAGAACACTGTGAAGCACGACAAGACCAACTCGAATCCCAACGTAGTCGTCTCCCCTTCGGGGAACATGATATCGCACCGACGCGCGCGATCAGCCACAAATCCTCCGAGCAAGCTATCACACTCGTCAATACCACCTCTGACTCCTCACCTCGAGGAAGCAAAGACCCCTGGAGGGACTGCTGTACTTCCATCATCTCCTGGTGGGCCTGGTGGATTCTTCGCTTCCATCTTCTCTGCCGCGCAGAACGCTGCCAACAACTTGGGTGACACCATTGCAAACAACACAAACATCAAGAACAAGCCCAACCAGCAACAGCAAAAGGAAGACGACGATACTCCAGACGGCGGTGAAGAGGTTATCGGTCCTGACAACGCAGACACCAACGCGAGTGAAGGAGCCGAGAAGCGAAGGCCTGCCATTGAAACACTGGGATCTGGCAACTTGAGCTTAGCCCAACTTGGAATCGCCGAGAGCAACGACGTCAGCCCAATGTCTTCTGCAACCAGCGTCACCATGAAGGCTGACGAAGCATCGGCCCAGGTCGAGGACCGAGCTGCTGCTCAGGCCGTCTCAGCCGCGTACGCAGGAGAGAAGCCTCCATCAATAGCTAGCGAACGCCCAAGATCGTTGACCGCTGTCTCTGGTCAATCAGGGACGGGCGCAGCGTCTCCCCCACGGCAACCTGAGATAACCGACTCGCCAGCGTCGATTCAGCGTCAAGGCAGTATACGCAGTCGTATAAGCGGTGGCAGACGGAGACGGCATAGGGGCAGCTCCGCTACTACCGGTAATACTCTGGGTGGTGTCATCAGTGCAAGTACAAGTACATTGGCGCCGAGCGCAGCACTGAACAGTCACCGTCTGAACGGAACTGGATTCGCAGTTGCACCCCCTAGGCGAAACAAGGATTTTCACGCACTGTTCAAAAGCGTGCCCGAGGATGACTATCTGATCGAGGACTATAGTGCAGCCCTCCAGAAAGAGATCTTGCTCCATGGACGTTTGTATGTTTCCGAAGGGCATCTTTGCTTCTCCAGTAACATCCTTGGATGGGTCACAAACTTGGTCATCAGCTTTGATGAAGTCGTGTCTGTAGAGAAAAAGTCCACAGCTGTCCTCTTTCCAAACGCCATCGTCATACAGACACTTCACGCTCGCAACGTGTTCGCGTCATTCCTGTCACGAGACTCTACCTACGACTTAATCATCGGCATCTGGAAAATCTCGCACCCTAATCTCAAATCTTCCCTCAACGGTGTAACGCTAGACGGTTCCGGTGGCACCGGTGACAAGACTGAGAAAGCGGAATCCATCGGCAGCGAAGACGGCTCTATCCAGGATTCGGATGATGAGGTGTACGACGAAGACGCGGACGACGACGAAGGCACTGGCAGTTTCACCGAACCTGGCGAAGGTAGTATCGCTGGTAGCGAAGTTGGCTCTGTGGCAGGCGAGACAACCCGAAAAGTGAGCGGCGCGGTATCGCAAGCCTTTGGCGGAGGTGGTGAGACGGCTGAGGCTGCGAAAGTAGCCACGAATGGCACTGCCGCTGCTGGACAAGACTTCCCTGGCTCAACAGCTCATGGACCCACTGAGTGTGGTGACAGCGACCAGCATTACGACAAACTACTTATCGACACGACAATCCCTGCGCCCCTTGGCAAGGTCTATAGCTTGATGTTCGGTCCAGCTTCTGGTGTCTTTATGCGCAAATGGCTCGTGGAGGACCAAAAGTCCTTGGACTTGCAAATGGAAGACGACAAGAAGGGCCTGGGCGAAGACATGAAGACATTCAACTATTCTTATATCAAGCCGCTTAACGCACCCGTTGGACCGCGGCAGACAAAGTGTAATATCGCCATGAATCTGGAGCAGTACGATTTGGACAAAGCCGTAAGCGTGCTTTGCAGCACAGCGACTCCTGATGTACCCAACGGCAGCATATTCCTCACGAAGACAAGGTATTGTCTGATGTGGGGCCCAGGAAACAGCACGCGGCTCATCATGACGTTCACGGTGGAGTGGAGTGGAAAGAGTTGGTTGAAGGGTAAGTAGTATCTGCTCTGACGCAGAAAACATACTGACATGTCCAGGTCCTATCGAGAAAGGCGCGAATGACGGTCAAATGTCGTACGCCACCTCCCTTACAGCCGCTCTCCGCACTGCCGTGACCGCGGCAAAAGCCGGTCCGGCTCGCGTACCCGGAAAGGGCGGAAAGGGCAAGAGGCGATCCAAGGGCAATCTTCTGGATGAAGCGCCCATGCCTGCCACCGCTCCCGTCCCCACTAGTCAGGCAAAGCAGAGCAATTGGGGGCTACTGGAGCCTTTGCGCAGTCTCCTTGGGCCGTTTGCTGATATCCTGGAATCTATTTTCACTCCGCAAGTCATCATCGTCATCCTCGGAGCGCTTCTGATGTACACCTGGCTGTTCCGAGGTACATCAACGGCGACTGGTCCAAACCAATGGTCGACGGCTCAACGTCAGGTTGCGTACGAGGAGATTTGGCGTCACGAAGAGTCAGATCTCTGGAACTGGCTCGAAGAAAGAGTTGCTTTGGACAGAGTGCATAGCTCCGTCCGGGGGGCACACATTCAACCGGAGGACGGCACGCAGAAGCCTCTTGCACCACATGACATGCAGGCGCGGGAGATGGACGAAGCGATTCGTGTGACCGAGGAACGATTGAAGGCGTTGAAAGACGCCGTGACTCGGGAACGCTCCAAGTCGCGTACAAAAAGTGCAAAAGAACGACAAACGTAGGCACGGAAACGCCGGACAATTATAAGCGCCCTCGGAGAGGGTCGTACGAGAGAAAGCACTCCACGGCTTGCAGCACGCCCATGAGTCGCGAAGCTCGAACTGTAAACATACGCAAGACTTGCATGGCGATGGCGTCAACTCTTTCCCTTTGTGATTAGCTTGGCGTTTGGTGCGTTGGGGCCCGGGTGGGCTTGTATGGCGTACATCTGTCATACCACGGCGTTCAGCCGCATTGTTTCGTTTGTGTTTCGCACTGTCGTATCAAGGTCAGGAGTGGATTTGTAACCTCCGTTCGTCTTTGCACAAGGATTTCTTTACATTCATCCTGTCAGTGTTTCCTACTGGCAAACTGTTGTTATAAAACCCGTTTCTCAATCAGATAAACATTGGCTCGAAGACTTCCGGAACCAAATGGTCCCGCGGCATTCGCCACCCATGCTATATCCAAAAGGGTCCATTGACGCGACGAACAGTCGTTAGACTGGCGATCTACGCGTGCCTTGAACCGTTGTTAAAGTTTGGTGACCTGCAGCGGTGATCGCTGGTACTTGCATTAGCGCGGTCTAGGCGATGCGCTGCACGATCTATTCGATCATGGATCTTCCAGATCTTCATGGATTTCTTCATCTCTCCAGTCCTCGGGTGCCGAGAACTGCGAACACGAGAGCGGTTAAAGTTCGTCCACGTCGGTGACGACTTACAATGTTGCGGTTTAACTTTGACAGCTCACTCCCTGAACGGTAAGCAGGCCGAGAAGACGCACGTCCCTCGATACCACGTGTGCTGGTGCGATACTTGAAAGCTGCGTCTAGCGCTTCGTACATCCCGTTCTTGTCTATCCACCGTTCACGTCTCCACGATTCAGTTCCCCACAGAAGACGCAGCCACCGTGCGACCCTCTCATCTCCCACGTTGGGGAGTCAACAGTTCCAATACCGGTGCCGCCGGTTGCAGATTCGCGCCACGCGATCAGGCCGAGCGTCGCTTCTCCGAACAGTCCGCAAACTCTGGATAAACTCAATTGTACGGGAAGACGTGACTATCGGATACCAGTTTCCTAAACAAGTTGGTTTGAGGGTCCTATTGAGTTAGGTCATGCTCCGGATCCGCACCGTTAACGGACGGCCGCGGTCCCCCAGGATGCAGCGACCTACTGTTTGGTACCTGACTCTGCCTTAGTTTGCTCCGCCGCCGCCACTGCTACTGTTGACGGTTTTGCGATGGGATAGCTAAACTTTGTATGGAGAAATGGCGTGCCATGGCAAGATCGATGGAGGATCTGGCTGACGTGGAGGATAGCAAGGGTTCACCGCGGTTGAGCTAATAGAGTTTCCGTAACAGGCGTGGGATGTCTGAGAAACGTTCTTCAACTACCTCTATTTACTTTTTCCTCGGACCCTTCATCCTGATACTCGAGATCTCTTCGTTTTCCAGTATATGGCGTGGCCACACTGTATGCGAAACATCCGGAATATCCGGTGCTGACATCTAATTTCGGACTACGATCTCACTTTGTTTTCTCTATCACGCTCTAGTCGCGGCTTTCTTCCTCCATACGTCCAACATGGCATACAGCCCTAATGGAAAAGGATCCAGTGGTCTCCTTCCTCCCGTCTCAGTCTTTGCAGCCTGGCCGCTTCCGAATTACGAAGATCCCGTCACGCGTTCCAAAGCCGTTCTCATTACATCATGTACTCTGGGGTCGATTATGCTTGCTGTAGTGGGAGCAAGAATATGGGCAAGAGCTGTTATACAAAGGAACTCGGGCGTCGATGACTGGATCATGTTGGCTGCAATGGTATGAGCCTCCCACAGTGACTGAAACTGTATGTGCGAAGACTAACACATTGATCACAGATCCCAACAATTGGACTGACAGTCACCGCATGTCTTGGTACGTTGCCATCCACGCGAAACCTTACCATACCAGTACTAATGATCACATTAGCGACCGAACGCTACAATTTCAATCGACACATCTGGGACGTCCATCCCGACAAGTACGTCCCAGAGCGCCAAGTAACCTTCGCCCTCTACGCTTTGTATATTGTGGCAGGAGGGATGATCAAGATATCCATCCTGCTCTTCTACCGCCGTCTCGACTCACGCTCCATAACGAAGAGTTTCCGCATCGCAACATGGCTTAACATCGTTGCCATCGCCATCTTCTCTATCGCATTCGTCATCGTCCTCTTCACAGCCTGCACACCGTTTACCGCTTTCTGGTACCAATTCGATATTACCAAGCAGCTCACAGGATACGCATACCATTGCTGGATCGATGAAGCGGCAGACCTTCTATCAGCGAGTATAATAAGCGCTGTACAAGACGCCATCGCCGCTTTCCTTCCCACAATCCTATATTGGAACCTACACATCCCGCGTCGCCAAAAGATTGCCCTGGGCGCCATCTTCGCTCTCGGTTACCTCGTCTGCATCGTCGCAGGCGTACGCTCCTACTTCGTGTGGCGCACCTTCAACAGCCCCCTTTACGATTCAACCTGGGAATCCTGGCCCGCATGGCTACTCTGCGTGCTGGAAATTCAACTCGGCGCCATCTGCGCGAGTGCGCCCGCCCTCAAAGTCTTCCTGTCGCATTACTTCAAGGTGGCAACAAGTATGTACAGCGGATCTAGCCAAGGCACGACGCATGCCAGCATTCAGAAGGGTGGTGGTGGTACCTGGTGGAAGTCGGCCAGTTCAGGGACGTCGGGGTCAAGAGGGACCATGGCTTCGAGGGTGGATAGGGATGGGTATATTCGGGAACCGGGCAATGCGCATATGGTCGATGAAGAGGGGGGCATTGTGCTACAAGATACGAAGAGGTCTGATGGACGGACGGAGAGCATCGAGACTTTCATCTACTTCTGAGAGGGGTTACAACAAGGAGTGGCGAGAAGACGGCCAACTCAATGCGCCACAAAGTTATCATTGTACGAACCCATGACGACAGGACTGGCATGGGAATACTACCATGCTATTAAGATCGGGAGCATGATATCAGCGCCTGCCCTGACGATTTGGAGCTGCGCAATAGCCTCTGACGGGGTTTGTCGCCTGCCGTGCAACTGACGCAATTCAGTGTCGACAAGCGTGCCTCCACCAACAAGCGTCGTTCTTCGCGGACGGAAAGCAAAGGCAAAAGGAAAGGGGTTCCACAAGAATAGGATCGTAAGAACCGAAGACCGTATAAACGTAACGAACGGGCGCGTGATCCAAAAGAGGATCGCAGGGCGAAGGAAGGTACCTTTATAGGCGTGAGATTAACGCCAGAGCTATCAGAACAGGATATTACAAATGACTTTGTAAAATATATGTAACATATCCAGGACATACTACGAAATACACCATCTTCTCCACTACCTGTTCTGACATCGAGGCCCAAAAACGGGCTTTCTACAACTCTCACTTTAACCCCACCTCTCACAACAACACATACACAACCCCTCAGCGTCTTCCCAGCCCCTCATCCATCCGCTTACCCCTTCTCTCCAAAACCCTACCATCCTTCCTCTTCCTCGCCATCTTCGCCTCCCTCCGCTCAATCAACCTCTCCCTCTCCTCTACCTCCTTCTCTCTTCTCCCCACAGCACTCTCTCTACCCTCCACCACACTTTCGCGCCGCTCAATCGCACGCTGCTGCTCTTCGACCTCCATCTCTCGGTTCACGACGGCGATCTCGCGGTCACGAATATCTGGTACGAGGGGTGGAGTATCGAGGGTCTTGTTATAATTGGACAGGTTTCTACCCGCGAGGGGCTTGGATGCTGGAAGGAAGTCAGCAGGTTGTTGTTAGGAGGTTAGTGAAGGAAAACGCACAGTCAAGTGGAGTAACAGGCGCACCAGCCATGAACCCCGTGTCGTAGTGTGCATACGCGCAGTCGATGTCGCGTTTGTTGCATCGCCCGTTTTGGTGCCAGAAGAAACAGGTTAGAGGCTGGGGGAAGTTTTTGGGTAATGACGTGTCGAGTTTGGTGGGTGTGTCGTTGGATGGGGTGTGTTGACTTGAGTGTCGGCGTGTATAATGGGAGTTTGAGGATGGTGGACCACTTTGGAAGGGTAGGTTGTTACTGAGTGTTGAAGAAGAGCGTGGTGCGTCGGACCTGCGTTGGTACGCGTTGTCGCGAGAAGGTATGTAGCGGTCGATCATGCGGGCCTGCATATCTCTTAACTGGAGAGTCGGACTGGCGATTGTTCTTGACTTGAAAGAGGGTGAGACGAGTTCAATTGGGGGTGTGGTATCAGCCGTTTGTTTGTTGCCGTGCAGGAGAGCACTGACCCTGACGGGCGTTTGCATACAATCTGACCTGTAATATTGTCGAAGGTACTGCATTAATGTGTTATTCGTACATTTGATGGATATTCCATTGGTCTATCGAAGGCCTAATGTGCATCATTGTGATTTGGGGTATCATATTCCTACAGCTTACTCTCCCGCACGTGTCGCTCTTCAACAGGTAGCGCACCACTCATCATGTCCAGCTGTTCCTCTCTTCCGTAGAGTACTCGCTCTCGACCTCCCCTCGTCGTCCACCAATTCACAGCAACACCACTACGCTCTGCATCCATCTCGCCACTGACTAGCACTTCCCAGTATCGCGCTTTGACGTTCTCCCGCATTTCATCGTCATGGATTTGGTTGAGCAGTTCGGCACATAGAGGCAGCCACTCCTCCAGCAGGTATATAGGAAGGAAAGGCAGGGCATCTATGAGGGTCAAGGCGAGTACTGCCTGTTCCGAGAGGGCAGGGGGTGGTGCGTCTGAGCCTTGTAAAGCCAAGGCAACCGAATCAGGTGGTAGTGGCTGTGAAGGAGCGTTGAGAGCGCGATGGTATACGAGCTCTAGGAGTGTGGCTGGGAGATCGGGATGGGTTGCCGACAAGGTGGAAGGAGGAGCTGTGACACGCATCAAGGTCTTGAAAGCTAGGCGGAACTGGCGCGGGGACAGGTTGTGCGGGAAAACGCTGAAGAGAGCGTCGATGTAGAACGGCAAGTGTTTTGCTGTAATCTCGGCAGACTGTGGAGCAGATAGCACAGCAAGCATGACACTATGGGCAGCTTCGAACACCGGCAACATGTGGCGGTTCTCGCCAGCCGCAAGGTAGGGTACTGCCGACGCGACAAGCAAGTCCTCGTTTGTGGCTGGCGACAATATCAGGGTGAAGTGTTCCGCTGTATTGAGAAAGTAGAGGTCCAGTATGCGGTCAAGTGGGTGGCTTGGTATTTGGCCAAGATGTTGAGGCGCAATAGTTTTGAGAAGCTTATCGGCGTGGTTGGGGTAGGCGGAGAGAATGTCTATCGCCGTGAGATAGACAAAGGTATGCTGAGAAAAGGACGCTGGGCCGAGTCGGGAGGTGATGAAGTATAGGTGCCGCAGGGTTTGTAGTGCTTGTGATGCTAGCATGGGAGCGATGGCGTCTGCAGCAAGCGCTCTGTCGGCTAGTGTTCGTGTGAATACGCCACGCAGAATGATAGTAGTAGCAAAGAGAGCCGCCTTGAGTAGGTTCCACAACTGCGGAGTTGTCTTGTGAAGCGCATCGTCTTCCAGATTTCCTGCCTCCTCGGAGGGCTCGATGTCTGAAAACTTGGTCTGTCGCCATTGTGTAGTAAGAGCGCGAGAAAAGCTTGCGAGGTCGTCCATCATGGTTTGGATGATCCATGGGTTCTTGACGTTCTCGACGGCATGCGCGATTAGCCGTGATAGAGGACCCATAGATGATACCAAGGGCCTGTTCATGATACTTTCGACTTGTCTGTAAGAGCTAGAGTGTGGCTATGCATAGTCAGTATAAGCACGCGCATGTATCAGGCTCCGAAAAGACCTACACTCCAGTCCAGCTTCCCCGATTGCATTGTTCGTACGTCGAGATCCAGGCTCCCAAGGAAGTAGGCCGATTGGAAGCCTTCATTCGAGTAGTATGCCGTTCCAATAAGGACTGGAAGCAGCAGATCGTAATCAAGCTGTGTCCTTTCCACGTCTCCGATGCATCCGAAGGCATGATTGAGCGTCAGTGTTATTGTCTGGCCTCCCAGTCCGTCTGCCTCGGAACGCTCCCTGACTTCCACCAGGGCGAGGTTTGTCGCGCGCACCAATGCAGCCTCGACCCTCTTTCGCATAGCTGACGCCCAGTACAAGTCCATGCCTTGCTCTTCGAGGCTCCCAATGCCGATCAGCAGGCCGGCGAGGACGACCAAGTGCTTCCATCGGCGGCTCCGGTCGTCGGCTCCCGCGACTATGGCGCGTATCCATTCGTCTAACGAAAGGCCTCCTCCTATTGGCGTCTGGCCTGGCGCAAGCTTAGCTGCTTTGTTGTGCCGAACGTCGTTGTGGTGGTTGATGATGGTGGTGACGGCCGAGTGAAAGACGGAGAGCATGCGGAGAGGCGTTCGGACGCCATCGGGACGGTCCCATAGCGCGGGTGCGGTAAGAAGGTGCGAGGTAAGGAGGCTGAGATTGTGGGGGTTGCCGAGTGTGGTGAGGAGTGAAGACGCGGTTCCCAGTAGCCTGTGGTCATTAGCATGCGCATTGCGAATAGGGAGTCGCGATGCGTACCGCGGCGTGTCTTGCTGATCTGTGTATGTCTGGAGCGAGCGCAGCAGCGTGGATAAGAGGCGATCGACGACCATGATGACCTCGAGAAGCCCGCGACAGGCTACCAGAAGATGCGCATGGAGGTGTTGGAGATGCAATGGCTGGTGTTGATCATCGCTCGCGTCAGCCGAGGTTGCGCTAAGCTCGGGCTCTAGCCGTCGACATTCACTCGGAGATCGACGTCACAAGCATCAACTCCAAAACATCGGCTTCTGATATCGTATGATCTTGCGGTCCTCGTCCTACGCGCAGCAGTACACGAAGCGCCCCATAGCCATGCCGCATAGATGAGGTAAGCCCAACTGGACCCTTGTGCTCACCGCGGTCTTCCCCCTGTGCATGGCCCAACATTCACGTTCGCCTCAACACGTTCCCCACATCTTGGCCATGAACGTAGTTAACCGTATATTCCCCAGCTTTATTCAACGCGTCGACTCGGCGGTTCCGCTCGGCTACACCACGCCGCCCTTCCCCTCCCTCTACTGGCCTCTTCCCGCCGGCGCAACACAGTCCTTCTACCTATATCGTCCCGATGACATATTCCGCTTCACCGTATACTGGACACTGCTGCTGGTCGGCGGCATCCACTTCATCACTGCGCTATGGGCGTGCATAGTGCAATGGCGCAATTGGAAGTTGATATGGGTAGCCCTGCCCGTCTTCAGCATCGTCGGAGGTGTTGAAGCACTTGTTGCGGGTGCAATTGTTGGCGGACTGTAAGTGGTACCTCTGGAAAGAGCCATATGGATCGCATACTGACTACCATCAGACTTGGAGGCGTATATCAGGCAGGGTACTTCGAAATGTCCACCTGGATACCCTTTGTCTGGGCCGTCATCAACACCTTGGTACTCATATTGTCTTCGTTCGCCATCTACGGTGGACTCTGAATCCTTGTCGCGGACACATGCTCCGGGTTTACTAGCATCGCATCTCAACGCATCCACGATACCTTCACCCCGCGCATCCACAACCGAAGCCACGCCCTTGAGTCTATCCCTGCTGCCTCTGATCGGAGGGATGGGCGTCTGCATGCGCATCTCATAGCGGACCATGTTGTGGCAGAAACACTTCGATAAAGGTCAGGCAACTCTTGTCGCCCATGAGATTGCGGACTCTCTATCGTTGACTTCTCGAGCCTTGAGCATCTTCACTAGCTAGTGTGGCATCAATACCCTCCTCCACATCCCCACCACACCCATGAGCTGGACATCACTACGAGTACACTTCATCGAAGTGACGCGATGTGTAAACGATACAAAAGGCCGAGAAAACGATGTGTATACTCCAACTCACACGAGCAAGACTAGTCTCCACGAGTGTGGATGACAACGTTTCACAGGCTGATCGGGGACGCAACGTCGATGTACAGAGAGACCTACATACGATCGGTGCCCATCTTCCCCGCACAAAGCTCCGGGTTTTACGCATTCTATGGCACAAAGAGAGAGAACATGCCAGCTGGACCAACGATGAAGACAGGTTAGAGAGCAAAGCAGTAACCAGATAGCAGACTCGTGGATGGGTATCATTACACTAGATTGTCACCAGTTCTAGCAGACCGGAGTTGGTCTGTTGTCTAGATCATACCTATATCCAATTCTATATACACATCGTAGATCATTACTTTCATTACATCGTGACATCACCCCAGCCACCTCATCCCGTATGTATCTTGAACCTCTGCTTCACTTGTTTTCTGCACATGGGGCACTTCGTCGGCCGTACGGGTATATGGCCATGCTTTACCGGAACAACGACATCAGCGCACCACTGACACATGACCATGTGCCCGCAAGGCAAGACAGCTACATCAGCAAGCTGCTGATAGCACACCTGGCACGCGAGTACCTTTGTCATTTCCGCGTCCGTCTTTGGCTCTGGCCGATCAGGCTGACTGTCAAGCGATACGAGCGGTAGTTCTGGCTGCGGAGGGTCGACGCGTAAGAATGCGCGCGCTTCAGCGAACCTGTGCTGGAGACGTGTACTGCGCATGCCGGGCTCAAGGAGAGCCGAGGCGCGCACATTGGATAGTATTTCGAGCGCCGACGCTACAGTTGCAGGTCTGGTTGCTGCATCCCCACCGCCGGGCATTGCTAATATTGTCTCTAGATCAGGGTCTGGGCGGGATACGTCGTTGTTCTCGAGGTTTGGCCGCCGGGGCGCATAACTCCAGACTTGGCTTTCTGGCTCTAGAGTCGATCCAAAATACTGCGACTCTCGCATGACACCCCATAGTAGCTGTTCCTCGATTTCTCGTCGATCTTGTGGCGATAGACCATCGAGTGGAGGTGCGATTTCAGTTCCATCGGCTCTTCGTTGGTCGGCCTGGCGCTGGCGGGCGTATGCTCGTGTGTACATTTGTGTAAGCGGTGACTCGTAGTCGTCCTGCTCTAGTTCCTCCCGGGAGCCGAATACGCGTGCGAATCGCTCTCGCCGATTTTGTTGCTGCGCTTCTCGTCGTGTCATTGGCCGTGGGGGCTCTGACGGCTCTTCCTGTGTTTGTGGTGTGACGGAAGTTCGTGGTTCTACTGGTGCCGTGGGCTCTGTGTGCGAATCCTCCATCTCCTCCGTATCTTGCAGTAGATCATCCAGCGCGTCTTCTAGACTCTGGTGTGGCTGCTCTGGTGGCTCCTCTTCAGAGCTTAACCGTCTTCTTCTCAGTCGATTCTCTGGTCTGCTCGCATCATTTTCTACGCCGGCCCTCAGCTGATCCAATGTTCGCGGAAGAAAGCCAGGACTGACTTCCCGGAATGGCTCCCCTATGACACGCATGCGTTGTTCAGTCCCATCTGGCAGCTTCGCAATGCGATAGCCCTGGTGAAACTCCCACCATCGCTCCAGGAACTCGGTCTGGTCAGGTATCTCGGGTACGCGTGTCTGGGAGATTTCGAGGGGAGGGTCGGTAGCGGCAAGACGGTTGCTCCAAAATTCTAGTCTATAGTCAGTTTACAGTCTGGTGACTCGAGGTCCTATCGAGCAATGGTGTACCTTTACAGAACCAGCAATAGCCTTGCCACCTTGTGCCGCGGTTCACAAAGCCCACTCCGTCAATGTACACGCGATACGTCCGCGAGTGGACTCTCTCGTCGGCGCAAGCGCAACAATTCGGGGTAGAGGTCAATCGGCAGCTTGTGGCAAGCTTGTGCGGACAGTGTGTATCCAAGCGTGGGCAGTCAGCGGTCAAAGTGCCCATAATGATTCGGCGGAGGGCTTGATTGTATGTCAAATGCTGAAATGAGTGCTGCAACGCCCAGTGCACACGCTAAAGTTCAAAGAAGGCTGAGGCTTTGGACGTGATGAGCAAACAAATGCGTGAAGTTTGGCGGGTGGCGCGTCGAGATACTCCGCGTTCCGCAGTCGCACTTGCATGCGCTCTGGTGGGGCGCAACATGGGTTCGATGGGGGAAGTGGACCTAGCGTCATGTCATTCCCGCGGCTTGACACTCGCAATAGACTGTGACTGAAGGCATTCCCATGCCCAGAGCTTGACTGTCGCTTGCCTACCCGTCATACAAAGTATTGCTACGACCTGTGTCCGTTGACTGTTGGCCACAACATGCTGTACGCGGCCAATCGAGTGCTAGTGTCCAACAGTACATGGCTCACAGCTGTGGATGAGTCGCAACACCAAGGATACAATTGCCCCCTCGCCCCAGCTCTTTTATGACTGTTTCGAACAAAAGTCTTTACAGTTCCCAACGAAACGCGTATCCAAAAATCGTATCCTCCATCGAATCTCGTGCGAACAACAAGCCTTCAGGAGAACATTGGGAGACTCTCATCATCAAGAAATTTAATGGCAAGCCCTTCGAAGAATCCATACCCGTCTACTTGCCATGGAACCTCTCGACAGAAGAAGTCGAAAAACTCTCTTCAGTTGAAGCGACAGGTCTTGAGAAAGAGGGAGAGAAGATGAAGCTTAAGCTTGCGCCGCCGACTGAGCTATGTTGGGAAGGTGCTCGAAATCACGAAAGTGTTCGTGGCGTTGAGCTTATATGAAAATCTCAAGAGAGAAGGAGAGTTGCTCTCTATGCCCAGCGACATCGATAGTGAAGTCAAAAGGGGAGTGTCGAGAGGAGTGGTACAAAAGGCAGCTGCATTATCAACACTGTAGATTGTTCGATGGATGGGTAGTTTCAGCAGATTCATCTGCTCCGAAAACTATCTCATGATTTGCAATGAGTACACCCGATGTCTAACCAGTAGCTTCTGTGAAGACCACGCGATGTGTGGGTTCTAGGCCTGACAGCAAGCAACACCGTGTAGTTTCATCACGTGTCGAAACACAAACGCTCCTGTCCAGGTGCTTATCAGCACGAGTCACCACTTCAGCAAATGTAAATAGTGCCAAGATCCTGGTCCACTGCCTATTCGTACGCAAAAGATGGCGCCCATTTACCTCATTGTCGTCACAAAAGCCACAACCTTCTCTCGCGCCCTCTACAACATCGTGTCCGCAACCCCCGAAACCCAGACATGCGCCTACCCCGAAAACAACGAGGAATTCTTCTACATCAACATACGCGTCACACACCCTGCTACCAATCGCAGCACAATTCTTAAGATGGAGGTACTCAAAGAAGCCCACGTTCTCAGCGTCGAAGTACCCGGTCGACAGAAGACACTGCCGCTGGCCGAGCAAGCACTTTGCAACCGAGTCGATGCAGAGTATTCGGATAGGAGGCTAAAGAGAGAATCTTTTGAGATGGTGTGGAGGTTCGAGCAGGCGGATGACGTGGAGGGGAAGTATAAAGACGAGGCGAGGAAAGTGAGTGTGGATATTATGGCGAGGGACTTGAAGACTACTTGGTGGGATGTGTACGAGTGTGAACTTGGTTGAGAGCGGGGATGAGGATGAGCAAGAAGGCAGTAGATTTGAAGTTGTATGGTGGAGCTTGGCTGGGACATTGGGATGAGGTGTTGCGTGTGACAGGTAGATTAGAAAAAATAGAGAATTGATATAGTACTCAGACCGGAAAGAGGGATGCATGGTAGAGTGGGTCGGAAGGTGATTCACCCTTCTTTCTTCTGCGCATGATTCAATGTAATCACCGAAGCTCCACAGAAAGTTCACAGTTCGATAAAGAAGCAACGGTAACGTATGGCGATGGTGTACTACCTGATTATGCAAAAGTGAGCCCTGGAGATGTTGGCAAGACTGTGAGACTGGGGGCACGGAAAGTCAAATACATCGTCTTGACTAGGCCCTCGCTTGAGAGAGGGGCGCCATCGTCGCCGTTCGCCGCTCGGTGCAATGCGCCTTGCTCCGGACCCATGAGGACGGTTCACGAGGCGTAGCGCTCGTGCACAGCGGCTATGCAGGAAGAATGCGGAATGCCACGGCACATGTACTTTAGACTGTAAAACCTCGTTTCGATATTCTTCATTCAGTTTGACGTCGAAGGATTTGCCAGGGGTTGTGCCAACCGAGAAGTGGATGTTAGTCATTCGCGTGCGAGAGTAACATCTCGGCTCCATCTCGGTGTAACATTACACGTCCGCCCCACCCTCTATGGTCGCGCCGCTCAGATTGCCGCTTTTGAACTCATCAACGATTTGCTCCATAGTGACCCATTCTACCCCTTCGTGTCCGTTGATCCACTCGATGAGCCTCTCGTGCAGTAAGATGACTTGTGGTTTACCGCTCACCTGCGGGTGGATGCCTAAAGATGGGTGTAAGAAGTCAGTCTTTGTCTCACATACAGTTCATCCAGGGATATCACTGACTGATTGGGAAGATGAAGCTTCCGTCATCAGGACATTCGCGATACAGAAACTCGAATTGTTCCTTCCACAAGCGCTCGATGACCGCGGTATCGACGAAGCCATGCGTGCTTGGCTGTGTTAGTGAGAGCTGGAAAGGTGGCCAATCATCCAGATGCCAATTTGCAGGTATCTCCACGACTGTGGATGGCTTCAGTGTTGACATGGGCTTCATCCAGTGAGAAGCTGGCTTTGATACGTCGGTTTCTGTACATGTGCTGAGGTGCGGGGAAGGAACGTAGTAGGGCTGAGAGTCATGATGCATGAAGGAGTGATCGTACTCCTACATTGATGTCAGCTCGTCACTTATGCCTGATCTCAGAGAATGGTACTCGTACAATTCCGAACTCTTCGAGGAGCTTGATCGTCTCCCTACTCGTGCTCCAGGCAGGTGCAGTCCAGCCGCGCGGTTTCTTGCCTGCAATGTCTGTCAAGACCTGTATGCTCTTTCCCAAAACGTCTCGTTGCTGTTGTTCGTTCAAAAGGGAGACGAATTCGTGTGTGTAGCCGTGTAGCCCAATTTCATGTCCATTTTCGACGATTTTGCGTATCTGATGCGGAAAAGACTCCGCAGAATGTGCTGGTATGAACCACGTTGTCTTGATGTCGTATTTGTCCCAAAGCCTCAGCAGACGATTAATGCCTACAGTGGCACCAAAGACACCGCGGGACACATCGGTTGGGTTGGCAGGGGCTCCAGTTTTGGTGTTCAGCCTTGGTGTGCTGTTAGCTAGTGCTCACGAGACGCTTCGAATGGATCCAACGTGCCACCCGCTCACCTGTGTTTGGCGGTAATCAGCGAATAATTCGAACGAAGATGGCAGACCTGTTACTCACCGCGTCGATGTCAATACCATAAGTACACAGCACTCGTTTTGGCATGATTCCCGAGGCAATATTGAAGGCAAGAAAGTCGTTGGCTATGAAGCAACGCTAAGGGAAGCAATAGAGTGCAGGCGAGATGCAATGCCCTCTTATCGCCAACTCCCTGCCTTTTCAGACGCCATAGTCCGCGGCACAGTTGTACTTGCCATCTCTGTCCGCGGCTGTTTCGATACCAATGGAGTGGTTCACCGCCCGTCGCTGATATACTCCGAAGCACTAATCAAGCAGGTAGTACCAGGGTTTCAACGCCGGTGGATTAGCTTGCAGTGGTCCATAGACTGCATTTGTGCTCATGGAGTGCGGTTCGCAGAGAATTACTCATGCTGCACCTTCACGGCGAATAAGAGACGAAGGAGCGCGTGGCGTAGCTCGAGACGGAATTGAGCGCACGTCGAAGGCGGGGCATGTGCGTGGGATTGCCGAAAGCGCTGCCGCCGACAGATAGACTTTAGCAACTTATTCCTTCGAATAGAAGTCTAGACTGCTTCTTGTACATCTTCTCGTCTGATATTTGTCGGGTTGTCGTACACGATGCTGTTTGTCGAGTGCAAGGGCACCCCCTATGAGGTAAGTGTGACGCGTGACGTCATCACTGCTGCCGCGACGAGACGCGACAGCGACCAGGATCATGCTGATCTCGCACAGATTGGCTACCAACACGGTAAAGCCGCAAAGCTACAAATTGCTCGTTGCATCGAATTCTACGCGTGCCTCTTCCTCAAGAACTGCAAGAAGAGATGGCCGCAAGTCCTCCAGCACGCGTCGACGTTTGAACAGCGTGCAAAGGCGCAATGGCCAAACTTCCACGAAGAGATGCAAGGCATTGCCGACGGCTCCGGACGCGAGTTGCTAGACATCGTAGCGATAAACGTCCGAACTGAGATCAACTTTGGTTTGTTCAGCGATGGCTGCACTGCCCTCGCGTGGCACACCCAAAACCGGGCATGGTTAGCGCAGAACTGGGATGTATGCAGCACCTCTAGAAGAACACGAAAGCGATGATCGTATGCTGACGGTGCCCAGTGGATGACCGAGCAGCAAGAGAACCTGATTGTTACCAAGATCGCACAAGCGAACAAGCCCACTATAATCCAAGTGACCGAGGCAGGCATAATCGGGAAGATCGGCTTCAATAGCAGCGGCGTAGGCACCTTGTTCAACGCCATAAAAGTTCACGGCGTAGATTCTACCCGAATGCCCGCTCACTTTGGCTTGAGAATGGCACTGGAGAGCGCGTCAGTCGACGAAGCAGTACGCAAGCTGGAGAGTTTCGGCATGGCATCCTCAGCCCATATTCTCATAGCTGATGCAAACACGTCCCTGGGCTTAGAATTCACGAAGAGCACGTTTGCGCACGTGTTACCAGACTCTAGCTCAAGGGTCATCCACACCAACCATCTGCTGTTGGAGCACCCTGGCGAAATCGATACCGTATGGCTCAAGGACTCCATCACTAGAGTCCAAACAATGGCAACAAACGTTGGAGCGCTGGGCGACGACCCGAGCTGGGAAGACGTGACTCAATTGTTTGCCGACGAGCAGAATGCGCCGGGTGCAATATGTAGGTGTGAGACCGAGGAGACTGGAAGTGGTACCCTGTTCAACATTGTTATGGACTTGAAAAGCAAGAAAGCAGTGTTGAAGATGGGAAGACTAACACAACCAGAGGAAACTCTGAGTCTAGAGCTATAGGGCAGATGTACTGCATACTCATATTTGTTTGAACAAGATACCAAGCTCTTACACTTCCACAGGAATGCCGGCAGTCAAGTGTATAGAAGCCCATAACTAGCATACGTTAGATGTGCGTACGCTCGCATGAACTGCCTGTGCCACTGAGCTACGTGTCAGGAGATCCATATGCTTGTCGAAACTCGTCACACGCGACACTGATGTAGCTCACTACGTTTCCAATTTACCTCCCAAGTGAAGACGTCTTGTGACTATGTAGCCTGTATGTGTCTAAGGCAGTTCCCGTTCGTGAACGAATATGCAGATACTCTGCGGGTAAATGGCCCGTCCTTCCCCACCGCAGCGTGGGGGCTCAATGCGCTCTGTGTTGGCAGTGCAGCACTCTCGGCGCCGTCGAATCCACCCGACACATTGGTAGACGCTGGACGTGACCGGGCGACTCCCGTGCCGCGTGCCCCGCATATGGGTACGCGGAAATAAGCCACGGCGGGCTTTGGCGAATGTAACCTCATGACTATCGACTGTGCGCCCAAAACGTGTCCAGTGACGTTTGGTTGTATGCATATTCACACATGTTGAAATCCAGCCAAAGTGTTATCAAACTTGATACTCGGCGGAAGTCTAGAACAACAAAGTACCACTGAAGAGATGTAAACCCGCGACCCAAGGGTATTTCATTAGTCCGAACCGAAAATGCGCAACAATTCCACATGCTAGCTAAGTAAATCAGTACAGTGCTGTAATGTCATCAAGTTGAAAGACGTAAATGCCGATGAGAGAAGAAACGTGATCGAGAAACGCCAAAGAGTACTATAACTCCGGTGTCATGTCCATATTATCATTCAAAGAGAACTCCGCATTCCAATCAGAAGGCGCGAGATTGTAAGAGTACGCACCCAGTGGGTCTGGTGCATCGATCGCTGATGTGGGGTTGAAAACTGTCCAGAACTGGTAAGCCTCGTCGATTTCTGTAAGTATAGAGGGCGGCACTTGGTAGTCGTAGAGATTGCTCGCATCAGAGACCGTTTGGTGCAGTGTTGGCGGACAATAACTCGCTCTCTGATTCAGGAATTCGAGGTATTCCTTCTTGACCGGAAGGAGTAGTCGTTCGTACTCTTCGAAACACCTTTTCGCTGCTGCCCATCGCTCCGAGATGGACAGGAAGCATTTCGAAAAGACGTGCATCCATTCTTCAACTTGTTGCCATGAGTATTGGTCCGCAACTTCTTTCGGACAGCGCTGCAAACCTTGCAAGAAAATGAGCGCACAATTGAAGACATGATGGCATGGATGGAAGACGTATTTGATCTTTCCCGCTTCTGCCTCAGATTGCTGAAAGTAGCCGTCAGCAACCTTGACGGCATTGAGTAGAGCGATCATCATTTGCTCTTTACTTGGGTTCGGCAGTCGTCGAGAGGTACGATGCAACAAGGACAAGACGTAAGGGGTTGCGATATCGGAGTACAGGCGCATCTCAGTCCATCGTGCATTCAAGCTACG